GTGCCCTGAACAGCCTCCACAGAGCATGCACAACTTGCTGAGAGCCAGCCCTATCTCCCCTCTTTCCCTATGGCATGGCTGATGGTGGGATGTAACCTGACATTCTGAGGTGCCAGCCTCCCTGCTGGCCCCTCACTCTGCAAGTGGAACCACGCTGGAACACAGGGTGAGGTAGCGATCACAGAGACTGAGGAACCCCAGCAGCAGAGGAATGTCAAGGATAGCAATTAGACAGATTCTTTTAATTACAGCTCTCAAACATTTCCAGCACTGAGGTGAGACTGTGGCTTTGGAAAAGGCTGTTGAGTGCTGCCTCAGCTTTCCACAAGCAGAGGCGGTATATGCATAAGCTGAAGGTGCAGTTTGCATCAGGCTTCACCTATTTTTCAAGCTGAAAAACCTGTCAAGCAGCAAAACTTCCTTGGCTCTCCTCCACCCATATTCCTTCCTTGTTCCAAGCCCCAGAGCAGCATCTCAAGACAAACTCCTTGTTATCAGCAGGACCTGCCATGCTAATGTTGATGCAGCAGGAGCCATTTCTTCAGTAGGACAGAGCAGCAGAAACACAACCATCCAGTGTGTGGCAAGTTAGGATTAAATGTCAGTGTTGAGAACAAGGCATAAAAGGTCACTTCTCAGCCTGAATATCTATTCAACATTAAATAGGCAGTTAGAGAAGAGAAGCATTCAAGTGCCATGAATAGCTGCCTTGTGGATTCATTTTGTAGAAGACATGCATGTGGAAGCCTGTGTCCAGCAGTGGAAAATCTCACTAATCTATTTTTATCATTGCCAGCAAAGTCTGGCAGCTGTCTAGATGTTCTAGGTTCATTTAAAAGTGACTTTTGATAGGGTTCAAGGTCCTCAATGCTGACAGTTCAAATTAGGTCATTTCCTCAGAGCTGCCAACAGGCAGAAACTGAAGAGGTGGCTATCTTATAATCATCTTAATTATACAGTGGCTGTAGGCATAAACCACCCTCTAAACATAGAAGCACAGTGAAACCCAGCCTGGACTGTGCTAAGTTTGTGCTTGTGCATGTTCTCCTCAGCTGGACAAGCAGCTGTCCCTGAGGGACGGCAACCCCCTCACCAAGCCCTCCCAGGAGCCCATGAGACATCCCCCAGAAATAGCAATCTGACTCACCTTTGTGACCAGCATCTTAGTCCTCATCACTTTTTTCCCTGCCCAGTTGTTCCTAGCCCAGCTCTGTGACATGTGCTTGGACTACGGATTTAGCCAGAAAACACTGGAGTAGGGGAAATATATGAGCAGTTCCTAAAAACTGTCTGCAAACATTTCATAGCCTTTTGTCCTGATGGGTAGAAGGGACATGATAGTCCTGATCCAGATAACCTGTCAACATAAATCCTTGGTTTTGCTACTAAAGAATTCCTTTCCTGAGTCATAGATAACTACAGCTTCTCTCCACCCTTTACAAGTCTATTAATTGCTGAAAGTCAGAACATGAACCAATGGTTTCAAGTTTTTTTTTTTTTTTTTTTAAAATGTCCGGTTAGATATATTCTCCCTCCCAATCTGTTGGCTTGCACCTTTCTTTCCACTACTGTCAGCTTCTTCCCACATCCCATTTCTACATTTCAGGGACCCATTTTCATTATACTTGATTCTATTTCTGGTGTGCTAGGACTCCTTTAAAATGACAGTGTGCTGTAATACAGAAGTCTTTCCCAGCTCTACTTTAAAAAGAAAAGCTCTTTTCCCAGTGATAAATCCTGTTCCTGTGGAAAACCAGGTTTGCCCTACCTTCTTCCAACATTGCTGGCCATACAGCAAGCTTGAGGCTGTTTCTGAGGCAGGCTAGGTCTGATTTTAAAGTATCTTTCTTCTGGTAAATACCTCAGATTCCTGGATCCAGTCTTCCCAAGAACTTCATAAAGTCCTTGCCGCTTGGCCAAACATCTGAGCTTGCAGCAGCATATGCTGTTTCCTGGTACAAGTTTCCATATTTTGTACACTTATTCTTCCCCACTGTCCTTGGCTAGCTTACAAGAAATGAATAGCCATACACTTTAGCAGTTTGGCTTTATCTTCCCTTGTTTTCCTCACAGCAATGGAAAAGAGGCAAAGCTGACAGCAACCTCGAGTAATACAGTGCAAAACCCACCAATGCCTCCATACACACAAAACAGAAACCAGCAGCAAGCTGTGCTCTTCCACTTTGCCACATGCGTTTTGGCATTGTGCAATCTCTGCGCATCATTCATTTGACAGCACTACAGGCAGTGCTTTATGTTACTGCATGACATAAGACTTACTCCCATGATCAATTAACAACTCTTGTGGTATCCCAGTCCAAGCAAGTATCTAGACCAGGGCTGCTGTTACCCCACTGTTATCCCCCAGCTCTTTGCTATCCACAAAGATTTCCCATATGTAAATATATTAAAAAAGTGACACATCTGGCCACAATATTACTCCATGTTAAGCAAATTCAGTGCAAAGGATTAGCACCACATGTACTTAATTAAAAAAAAAATCAGTTTACTTCTGTAAACAAAGCTACTTATGGCTTTTTCCTTTCTTCTAGTTGCTGATGGGGAAACTTAGATAGTGAAAAAGACGCAAAGTACTTTAACTCTTGCACATTTTCCCTTATGTTATAGACTTCACAATAGACACCACATTCCACCTCCAGCATCTTCCTGCAGTCCTTATGAAACAGTACTTGCTGCTCTTCTGAGCCAGCCACCCAGAACAGACCTTTCCCTAACAGTGGACTCAAGTGTCCTGACTCACTTCACACTTCCTTCACAACATTAGTCACTTCTGACATGGCACCTGCATGGAAAAAAAAAAATCACTCTAGTATTGCCTCATATGCAGTGTTTTCCCTTCAGTAGTGTAAGTCCCCATTATCCCTTAACAGAAAATCTATTATCCCTTTTGTACTCTTAAGACTCTACATATTACTATTTCACACAATATTCTGCTCCAGGTTCAAGATAATCCCACTACTCAGAGAATCAATGCTACAAACTGTGCATTTTTTGTTTTGTTTTGTTTTTTAAATCATTGTCATCACTTAAAACCAAGTTCTTAGGAAAATGGACCCAGTTGCTACTTAAAGTCAACTTCCTCAGAAGCATTTGTTTCTGAGAAATATCAATTCCAGACCAGTCTGCAGGTCTGAGGACTGCAACCAGGTTTTGCACCTATAGCTCATATTATTGCTAAAAGGAAAGTATTATTCAAGTAGTCATCAGTAGCTCTCTTCTCTGATAAAAGATTTAGCTATTTGTTCATTACTCTGAAAGCATCATCTACACATACAGAACGTTTAAGAAAGGCTAAAGACTGTGCTATAGTACTTCAAAAAAAAAAAAAAAAAAAGGATGGGGTTGGCATCACAGCAGTGTGAAATGGTACCAGAAACGCTGTAGTTAAGAAGGCAATGTGGTGAAGTAGAGATTAATGCACACAGGAAATCCAAATTCAGCTCCTGTAGAAAAAGGCAACAGTGGGAGGTGTAAGCTTAGTCTTCTGGCTATTCAATCAACTTCTATGCCAGTTTGAGAGCTTCCACTATAGCTGATGCCAACCAGCTGTACTCATGCTGTTACACAAACCCACCTCATGAGCTGAGGTGCTAAGCCTGCAGTTGAGTTCATTCAAGTCTTTAAGATAAAGAAATGCATGCTTTCCAGCTTGACTTTTTTAAATTGATTTTTTTTTTAAAGAAAGTATATTAAATAGAATAGTACAAAACATTACAGAGGAAAGCTGTATGACATGCCACCTAAGTCCTTAGACAACTGCAACACAAAGGTAAGACATCCAAGCATTAGTCTATAGCTACAGTCAGACCGCAACCCTCCACAGTCCTAACATCTCACGGTAAATGAGTTTCCTTACCAGTGAAACATGGGAACTACCAGGAATTTTATGAAGGACAAAGATCATGAACTCCCAGGAATGTAGCTGAAGTTTTACATGACAGAAACATAGAATACAGGTATAGACCTTACCAGCAAGTTGTGCTGAGGTTTGTAGGCAGTCCCCATCAGGAGATGTTTTAAAGAAAACATTTTTAAAGGCCATTTAGGATTGGAATTACAGGGAAAAAAAGGCAATTCTTTAGCTAGGGTTTCCAAAATAACATCTGCTCCCTCCCACATCTACTTTTAGACTGAAACAGGATAGCCACAGTTCTAGTTGCTGCTGTGAGCAGTGACTGCAGAGCAGTACACTGACTTCTAATACAACTTTTGCTCCCTCCCTCCCCACTTGGAAGTTTAAGATTTGGCACACATTCTGTAAGCCCTTGAGACTGTACTTTGCAGGCTTTAGAGAGACAAAGCACAAAGCCAGCTACTAAGAAAAATCCTATGAGCACACATTGCAGGAATCTGCCTTGTCAAGAGACTGAGGCCACATCAGATGCCCAAGTCATATCAGCACACAGGCTGATATAAGAAAGCCCACCTGGCTCCAGGGGAAAGCCCAGCCTGTTTGCATCAGGGTACCACTGCCTGCATATCACCAGTGTGACAGTCATCCTTTACCATCCTGTGTGAAGATGAGGGTAAAAAAAAGTTACATCAGTAATATTGTGTGTGTGTATATACTATATATATTTATAGTGTATATATATATATATATACACACACACACACATATATAATAGAAAGGAGGAATTGTATGCAGTGATAGACTATGAATAGTTATCTTCGCATTCTTTGGAATCTTCTTTAAATAAGGCATTGATATCAGAATTATTTCCTGTGTTATGCTAAAACCCCAGTGATTGAACACACACATTATGCAAGTTCAAATTCATCCTACACATCAAACAGTATGATTAATAGACACAGAATCACAGACTGGTTTGGGTTGGAAGGGATTTCAGAAGTCATTTAGTCCCAGCACCCCCCCGTCATAAACAGGGACACTTTCCACTTAGGTTACTCATAGCCCCTTCCAACCTGGACTTGTACACTTGCAGGAGTGGAGCATCAACAACTCTCCCGCACAAACATACAATACATCTTACTCTTTATTAAGTATCAAATTGTCTCAAACATAAATTACATCCAAATTACATAAGTTTCAAGAAAGTAAGATATTTTATGTACAATATTTGTCTTGAGTCAGATATACCTTTATCATTTTAACCTATAGCATAAAAAGCAAACCTACATCAGTACCAAATAAAGCATTAAAAAGGTAACAAATATATAACTTTTTAGAAATGCTTTGAGAACGCTAGAGTTAATGACAAAGATTTTATAGTGCAGGGGTCTTGGATTTCTAGCTCTTAGACCATTTCTCTGTTTCTGCGGATAGCACAGCAAAGAACCATACTGAATATCATGCCGAAAATCTGTAAAGAAAACAAATTCATTAAGAATTGTGGGGGAACATTTTAATCAAAATGTAGACAAATATAGCTGCATAGCCTGTCTTCCCTGTTTAAAGAGCAAGTTAAAATTTTATTCTGCAGTTCATGTCCCTGCCCCTCCTTTCCCTTACATCCCAAAGTTTCAGTCCATTCTCACCAATCCCCTTCCACTTAAGGGCTTCAAAATAGAATAAAGCTAAGTACTGTTGTAGTCTCTTTAGAAATCTTCAACATATTTTCCTGCATCTATACCATATTTCCTCCAGAGAAGTCAAACAAAGTGCAAGTTTTCTTACAGCACAGTTATTTCACACCTCTAGCAGAGTCTCCAGTTAGAAAGGAAAAACAAAAAAGAATCCCTGAGAGACAACCAGGATTAAGATTTGTCTGGTAACATGACAAATATATCTTCACCTTCCATACACCACCCTCACTTAATACAACTTTGCCACTGCTAAAGCTACAAGGAGGAAGATCCAAATCCAAAGCAGAAGTAGTGAAGTCCCAGACATGCCCCACCTGCTGAGCTGCCTCAAAGCCATGAGACACACACCCTTATCTTGCCAGTACTTGTCATTAGTGGAATGGGCTTAGACTGCATCGTCAGGCATTGTTCAATAGACTTGTGGTACTGGTAGAGGTGGTATTAAGTACCCTTGGCCATGCAACTACCATTTAATCTCGGAACTCACCATTATAACAGCAATACCAAGGCCAACTGCTCCAATCACATTCAGTTTTGATTGAAAGACATCATCGATGGCTTTAGGACATGACTGAAGAGAAACAGAGTTCATTAGTTTTATATGTATGAAAGATGCATTTGTTTGCTTGTTTGTGTTCAAGTCTGCAGACTGATGCTACACCTCTGACCAAGTCTATCTGCATTAGAGATGAAGACTCATCTTTCAAAAGTAGTTTTGAACTGACCTGTATTTTCCACATCTTTATGGAGAGCCAGGGATGCTTCCAAAACAAAGTTACTGGAGAAATAGTAACCTTCTTTTAGAAATGAAACCCCTTAAATGTCCCTTGTCAACAGCTACAGTTTATCAGGTAGTTCAGGATCAATAATGGTTGTCCCAGAGCTGGCTTTTTACTAATGGCTGTCAGCATTTAAGCTGCTAAATTGCTCAGCTCTTCTCAAAAGAAATTTGAGGATGGTCTTGATACTTCCAGATATTGTAACTACAGACAGTTAGTTTATTCCACTAACAGACCACAGTGAGCTGCTGCAAACCACTTATTTGTTCCATATCTTTCTTGGAAGAAAGACTGATTTGAGTATTGAGGGGATATGCTAGCAAGAATGAATCACTTAAACCAGATCATCAATACAGTACTACTACCTAAGAAGTCATGCAGATAAGCCATGCTATTACATCCTTTCAATCTTAGAGTCTGTCTACTGTTTCTTCTACAGGTGGGACTAGGCCCAAAACACATTACAAGTTGAATTCAATAGATAGAGCTGAGACACACACAGTAACAGCAAAACCTGCGTACTGCCTCAGTTATACCCATATAGTCCAGCTCAAACCAGACAGGCTGTATGGATGAGACCAAAGATGCAGTCTAAACACAGACTGATATGTTTCACTTGGTCAGACATTTGAGGGCAAAAAAGGACATCTGCAGGGAGGAAGACAGCAGAAGTGATGTGAAAAAAAAAAGTCAAGACACTAACTGACATCTCTGCATCTTAACCACCTCTGTTTCTGTGTTAGAACTGAAACAGGCTGCCTTGGAACATAAGGCAAGAGCACCAAACTATTTTTAAGAACCACAGAAAGAAGGTAGTAAGAACTATTAAAAATGCCTCCAGTGTATGTGGCATACAGGCACCTTTGCAGCAGTATTTCAACCATAAAATCTGATTCAGAGATTCTGTTTCAGACCAACATATCCACACAAGCAGGCTACCAATGCATTACCCACCTCCCATTTCCAAAAGGGAACCTTCTTAATAAAATTTCAGATTTGTTCCTTCTTCATGTTCTCCTCGTCTCCAAGAGAAAGAGAAGAGCTCCAGTATAGTACCAGGATAGGAACAGCCTAGAGAACGGAGTTCTCCAGCATTTTATGGGAAGTTTTGATCTTACTGGGCACCACAGTATAAAAAGGACATGAAACTGTTGGAGAGTGTCCAGAGGAGGGCTACGAAGATGGTGAAAGGCCTGGAGGGGAAGACGTACGAGGAACGGCTGAGGGCACTGGGCCTGTTCAGCCTGGAGAAGAGGAGGCTGAGGGGAGACCTCATCGCAGTCTACAACTTCCTCGTAAGGGGGTGTCAAGAGGCAGGAGACCTTTTCTCCATTAACACCAGTGACAGGACCCGCGGGAACGGGGTTAAGCTGAGGCAGGGAAATTTAGGCTTGACAACAGGAGGGGGTTCTTCACAGAGAGGGTGGTTGCACACTGGAACAGGCTCCCCAGGGAAGTGGTCACTGCACCGAGCCTGTCTGAATTTAAGAAGAGATTGGACTGTGCACTTAGTCACATGGTCTGAACTTTTGGGTAGACCTGTGCGGTGTCAAGAGTTGGACTTGATGATCCTTAAGGGTCCCTTCCAACTCAGGATATTCTATGATTCTATGATTGTACTTTGTCCATCATGCCCCTGAATTTATTGACAAGGGCTGCTCATTCTATGTGCAGATTCACACTGATTTCCTGCTGATCCTGTCTACTATAAGATTATGTTGTTTTCCCACAGGTGGATGTATCATGTAGATGCATCCTGATAGCTGCCTGTCAAGCGTGACATACCAATTCACTATGGACTGAAAGGTTTTATTCACAGACATTTCTCATTCTACTCATCTAGCATAGCTACTAAAGAATTGCATTACCGTTACAGTAAATGACTCAGCCAAGGTCTTCTTTGGACATGTATCCATGAACTGCTGCTCAAGACTTCCTGCAATACCACAACAATTCAGCTACAATAGAAAACAGGATAAGAACCAGGTTAAATAATCCTTATTTTTGTTCTGTACTTGGTAAAAGGAAGAAGTAGATTACATTAGATTTTATTACAGACCTTAAGCAAGTCTGCTTAGAAGTGCTGCCAATTTGACTGCTATAAACCTATTTTTAAAAGGTTTTATTGCATTAAAGGACAAGATTCTGAAAGTAAGAGCTAAATCTCATTAAATATATGCATGCACACATATCAGTGTTGGTGATGGCTTGTACTTAACAGATGCAAAGGTGGAATTCTTAAACATATGCAGCTATCCATACTATGGTGTCTTTAGATCAAGGCCACAGAGTAGAGTTTCCCAGCTTGCTTTTAAGTTCATTTAGGAAAACCAGAACTAGTCCTATGTATTTCAAAGGTTCAAAGGGACAAAAAGGTATACTGAATTCACTAGTAGTATACAAAAATATTGTCCACAATTTGTTACTAATGCTTCTTTGGTCTCTTCTAGCCAGTAAGGTACTAGTTTTGTGCAGGACACTGGATGTGATAGAGAACAGTGTTAAATTGCATTAATTCCTAGTTTAACTATGTACTTACAGCAAAATGAAATGCTTTCAAGGTTTCCCTGGCAGCTGGTTGAGATCTCTTTTCATAGGTTTCCTTGTAGAAGTCCTTTAACTCTTCAATAACCTACAAGGTAAGAGTTGTATACTGTTACTGTTTTACCTTGATTAATAGTTATAGAAAACTTGTTTCAGATAAAGCAGTCATTAGAACTTCTACAACCTACAATACACATCTTTTTGACATATAGAAAGAGTGGAAATAGTCCATTTTGCACCTGGAACAAGTGAACCTAAGATCACCTTAAAAACCAGACCTGAACAGTTAAATTCTGCTTTCTCTTCCAAGCTATAAGCTCCTAAGAAGAGTGAGAAAACTGTCTTCACCCACTGGTTACGCAGAAGTATTTGTTTCCTACTTATTTCTGTAACCCAGAAGTCACTATATTCCTGTTGCATAATACAAACAACAAAACAACCCTGAACCTGATCAACAAGTACCCCCATATTTAGCATTCAGGCTTCTAGCTTGTTTCAAAAATAGAATTCAGTTTATTCCACACAGCATATCTGCTGGCAAAGTTTCAGTTGTTTCTGATGTTTAAGACTGTTACCAACAAAAAGAAGCCTAGAGACACATCTACATTACCAGAGCTTCCTGGGCATAGCAGGCCAGTTCTTCTATACCTATAAAGCTTTCCTCTCTACTAGCCAACAGCACCTCCTCCATCCACATCAGCCAGTTTTGCTTACACAACTCTAGTGAGGAGGGATAAAACCACTCCTACTCCTGAGGAACTGCTAGACCAGCAATAATCTGTTGGACTCTCAGCCTTACTGAAGGGTAAAAATGGCCTCATCCACAGGGTCTGTACCAAGAACCACCCACAGCTTACTGCCATGCAGTCCGGCACAGCAATGCAGTATTCAGAGCATGTCAACATGCACAAAAGACAATGAGATACTATGGACTCAAACCTGAGAAACACATAGACTTGTGAGGCAATAACACAAATCAAGTCACTGCTCAGATGCAGAAATATTCAGCTTTTAACTGCATTAGCCAGCTTTTCTCTATAAAAAAAGAAAGCTTCACCGATGGTCTACTTCACTTCACAGCTTAGACAAGTACTGCTTGAAGACACCTTTAAAAAGCAACAGCCCCTTAGATTCTGGCTTCACCACAGCCTCCTTTTTAAGTCTTAGCATTTACTTAGTTTCTCATATTATTTGGCTGGAATTAGTCTCTCATCTCCATTATCTAGTGATTTGTAGGAGATTTCACTAGGACTTGTACACTTTTCAGTAGACTTCTACATGCACACATGCCCATCAACTTTAAAGCCAAGTCAAAGGCCAGAATAAGTGTCAAGAAAATTACACTAGTTTGAGAGCTGCAGCTTCAGGAAAAGAAACCAACACATTTGTATTTAAAAATCATGTCACTGAAAGAGTCAAACTGTCAGGTGTGTTCTTTCAAATAATGAACACCCATTTTGAGGTCTCAGACAAGAGTTTTTTTTTTTTTCCTAATTGTTTAAGAGCAACCTACCTTTTCTTTATTTGCAAATCCCCAGATGGCAGCAGCAATTTCAAGGGCAAAAATCACAAACAGGAAGACAAAGAACTAGAAAAGAAAGACCGTGTAATTAGTCAAGGCCATCATACCACAAAACAGCAGACATAACACTAGGGACCAGACAAGTTTGCAAGTGTGTAAACCTTGTGGGAACTGTCACTCAACCAGTTTTCAGTTGATGGTTTGAAACAGTGGTAAAAACAGGGAATATTGTGATCAGTCAGTACTTCCTCCTTGCAGCGTCAGAAAGCCTGGCAATGTTTCCCAAGCAGAAATCCTGCTTTTTGATCAGTGTTAATTAAAACCAATCATCTGTTAGCTCAGACTTTGAAGTTGCACAGGTCACCCAGACACATCAACAGTTCACACTAATTCTTTTCTCCATTTTGTCACCCTTATTGCTTTAGTATTCATTACTTAATACCCAGCATGCCACTAACTCCCTGAGAACTAATGGTCACTTCTGTTGTCTCCTATAAAAACAGAAATAAAAGCATCATCTCTGTGTTTAATTGACTACCAGGTCCAAAACACCCCAATCATTTAAAGGCACTTTGAAGAGAGGTTCAGAACTAAAACAAAGGGCTAGAGGCATCATTTTGCAAGAAATATAAAGCTTCTTGCATGACACATAAAGGGAATTGTTCTTTCATCAGCTATAGTAGTCTTTTATTAACAAAGTCTTCTGGTTATTTGGATGAGTAGCTCCACCAGAGGTACAGATGTGCCCGAACCCAATAAGCCACTGGCCCCTCCAGACCAAAAACAATAGGGCTGCTTTCCAACAACTGACTTGAAGAGCACTTGTCAATTAGAAAAGCCCATGCAGTGATTACAAACAGTAGAGGCTTGTTGTTTCAAGGATCCAGTACCCCAGTTCTTCTCTCAGATTTAAAGACAGTGTTCAGAATTCAGGACAAACTGTTAATAAATAGCACTAGTCTTACCAATATTTTTATTCTGCATTCAAACATATTCCCAGTCTTCATGCTTTGAGTTAGTGAGATTTAGACGCTAAAGTCATCATGCTTTCAAATGTAACATACATATTTGGATTCAGTACCAGAAATGGGAAGTAAGTATCTTTATTTCGTATTTTAGCATTATGTAGGTGACCATGAGTTAAACCATTACGGAACCCAACCAACCAGCATCTGCTCCCTTTAACTATGCAGCCAACTGTGATGTTGGCTGCTCTTTTCTTTTCACACTTAAAATTTAACACTATTGTTTAAACACTTGCACTTACCAGGCCAAGCATACACTGTGATTCCTGCAATGCACCACAGCATCCCAAGAAGCCAACCAGCATCATCAGTGCACCAGCTCCAATTAAGATGTAAACTCCTAGAAGGAGAAAAAAAGAAATGGGTATAAAAGCTAGTTGAGTCCTCAGCAGCAAGGGATAAGATTAGTTGCTCCACAAATAAACCTTGGCAAAAACTAGAGCTAAGTTTCTTTACTGAGGTGTTCCAAGCAAAAGACAGCTGTGCTTAATTGTCAAAGCAAGCATCTCAAAACTTGAGGGGAAACTATTGATAAATAAAAGCTTCAGCTTATGACAGTTGATGTGCACCACAGTTAGTTTCATAAGTCTTAGAAAATGGGCAAAATAATTCTACCTGAGCCAAACCATAAATACACATTTAAAAACTGACCCAGAAACAGAATTATACACTTATTTTCAGATGAAGCGTGTGCTGCAGTTAGTTGGAACTAATGATTTTATCAGTATTTGAGAATGCTTGATATCTACCAGCTCTAGGAGGACAGGTATCACAAGGCATCACAAAGACTTTAAATGCTTTCCTACCCTGCTTTTCCATCAAAAACACTGAATTATTTTGTCAGCCACAGTGGTGAAAACCTATGCTTCAACTACCTAATCCAACAACCTCTAACTACAAGTAATTCAGCATCTTCTGCCTTTAAGAAAGCATATACTTCTTTAAACCAAGTGGTTAAGTTTGAAGACCACTTTGACCAGAATTCATATGACAAATGTGATGGAGCACAGAGGGCAAACGCTTCTGGGCTAAAGGACTCCCTTATGCCAAAACATCCCCCCCTAATATTGGGAACTACCAGCTAAGGAATGAATTATAGATGCTCAGCCACTACATGCAGCAAGAGGTAGCTAGGAAATCATAAGTTACAAAGGATGGCAGATAAGTATCATTGGAGTGGTGAAACATGATATGAAAAAGAGTATCAGCACAAAGCATTCCTTTTGAATATAAATTAGTATACATAATACTGTAAGAGTTTGACAATAGCATGTATGTTCCTTTTGAGAAATGAAGGGATACAGCTGTGGTTTTGGGTAGCTTGACACTTTTATCAATACAGATAAAAAGTTCTGGTCCCTAGAGACCTAACCAATATTACTTAAAGTTATACTTAAGCATTTGCAAGTTCTATTTTCTAGATGCACACTAACAAATATTAACTGCCAAAATAAACATCTACTTAATTAAGCATATATAGCTGAATATTCCTGACGTTAAATATTGAACATTCCTTATCAGCAGGAAATTCTGACATTCATTTCTTTACCCCAATTGAAGCTTTGTCCATCATGGGAAGAAAAAAGTCCACCAGAACCTCTTATTTAAAAGTTTATTTTCAGTAGTATAGATCACTTTAGAGGTAATTGACAGATTCTTTTAACGTACCATTGAAAACAGCAGCTCTTAATTAGTCCCATAAGATGTCAAACAAATAATTCCTATTAAACTTTTTAAGAACTCAATTTAACTTAGAGTTTAAGTAGTTTTGTTTCGCTATTTTGCTGCATGCAGCCAATGGCTTAAATATTACATCATAAAACTTTTACACATTTTATGAGGTAAATGAGTTGTTTTAGACTACCCCAAATTAGACTGGTTAAATATTCTGTTCAACTGCTAAGTTTAGATTTGTTCCTTTCCCAAGGTCCCATTAAAAGCATCTGGAAACCTCCTTGGCAGCTGCAAGAACAACCCAGCTTATAACCATGTCAGCATATCAACAGCTAAATACAAGCTTTCTTATAGATGAAGAATCTGCATGCTTGGGGACTGCACAGACTTCATGTAAAAGCATCTTGATATTCCCAACTATGGCCCCTAAAAAAGCCTTTACTCTGATTCCAAACAGTACGCTTAGTAGGCACAGGCTACTCTGGTATCCAAAAAGGACAGTATGAATTGCACCTATCAGGATGACTTACACTGTTTTTACTGACCCCTTAGACATTTGTTTGGATGCTGGAACAGCTCAAGTAACTCACCACAAGAAAACTTACTCGGCAACAGAAAGACTGACCTTAACCATGCTGGGGATGGCTGCTTAATGACGCAGCACAGGACACAGCAAGTCCACATGCTACAGTGGTATGAAATATGTATAATGAACGCTCAAGTCTAAGGTGGCAGATGTGTGTAAGAAAGGTAAATATTTTATTTCTCTGTTCCCAAATATTGGAAGTCTTCAAGCTCAGCTATTGTTTCAAAGGAGTTTGAGCCCTCCACAGATGATTACCAAAGGAACGTGTTCCTCTGCTCAAGCCCAACAGTGGGAGTAGAGATCAAAATCTTTCAGTTAAGAGTTCCTAAGCAAGTCAGATTTTAAGACATTAGAATTAATAAACTAAAACCATGCATCTCTATCACCTAGATAGCAATCAAGCCATCCTAGCTTGCAAAAAGCCTTGACTAAGATCTTTTAAGACCTGAAAATATTGAGGAGTAACTTCTACCTGGCCTATGTAAAACAGTGATCTAGGTTGACTGTAACTGTTGTTCATATAGACTAAGATATTGGACATCCTTTTGAATATAAATTAGTATACATAGTACTGTAAGAGTTTGACAATAGTATGTTCCTTTTGAGAAATGAAGGGATACAGCTGTGGTTTTGGGTAGCTTAGGTTAGTCAATTCAGGAAAAAAAATAGTTATTCATGTCACTAATTTTATTTTAGAGTGAAATTTTGCTGACTCACATCTGCACAAAGCATCAGGAAGATACATTCGCCATGTTTACCAGGAGTCCCTGGTGCCCACTAACAACACTTACAGAGGCAGCCAGCCCAAGAGACACTACAGCTCTTAGCATTAGAGCTCAGAGCACCAGCCAAGGCGAGCTGTTCTCAGCCTGACTGAGGCTGAGGACTATTTTTTCCTGTAGCTTTGAATAAAGGCTTATAAGTAACTAGGGACTCCAGGAACAAAAGAGTAACCTATCCCACTGTGTTCTCATCTCACACCTTACCTGTATAAAATGTTGTGTTGTTGGATTCCAGTTCAAAGATGCTTTTAGTCTGTGAATCAAACCGAAGCCATAGTCCAATTGCAAGAACTGCTGTTCCTGCAAGCTGTAAGAACAAATAAAGCCTTGTTAAATAATACCAATTAATATATTCACCCCTGCATTAACAGCAGCATCAGAAGTAATCACAGGATGCAGCTCTTATTTAATATGCTGGTTTTCTGTCACCAGCTTGAAGATAGGTATACCAGAACAAGAATAAAATCAATTCCTGACGTGAGGCATCTTGTTGACATATCTGCTTACATATTAGAACTATAACACAGGAGAACAATGCCATGTTTGTTTTTAACTGAAAGTCCTCTAGGTTTACAAAACTGCCAAGTGTCAGATTTTCCACTGCTGTCTCCACCCATGGTTTTGTTCTGGGTGACTGTACCAACACTGTGGTTTAGTGATCTTATATCCTCACTATGAAGGACAGGTATAATGCAAGGAAAAGCACCTTGTGATTTTTAAGGTCAGCTAAAAGTTTTAGCACATTAAACAGCCTTATGAGAGAGTACAGTATACTGCAGTCCTGAGTTTAGAAAGAACATTCTCGCTTGCAAAGCAGGAGCAAACTAATATGCTAAATAACCACACTGACAAGAAGCAGAAAATAAAGGCTGCTACAATAGCAACATTGCTGTGTGCTGATCCAGAACAATATAATTAAGTTTTAGATAATATTTAGGTTTTAATATATTGTCTTCGCCTGTGTGCCTCCAGGTTCCTTTTGACATAGGTGCTCATGTTTGTGTCAAGTTTATAAATAAAGTAGCTTCTGGATGAAACATCTGGCTGAAGGCATCACAGAAGTGTTGCAAGAAATAGGGAATTGCACTTGTGCGGCAAATGCTGCCAGTTTGTTTTGGAAAGACCAAGAAGCCTGACCTTACATGCTCTAAGAAAGCAAGCTGAGGTTTTCTTCTGTGGAAAAAAATGAAAACACACACACAAAAAAAACAACACCAGAACGGGACAAACTAGGAAATTAGACTGTTTTCCACCTCTTGCTTCTTTCATTTGAACACCATTTAACTAACAGAAGTTCAAGACAAATATCATGCATATAGCAAAAAATATAATTTTACAAGAAGCAGTAAACTTGAAGCTTAGGAAGTCCAGAACTGTTGGACTAATCATGCATGAAAAGCCTTATCTTTAAGAAGTTCCTTCTAGAAGTCAACAACATTATTTATCTCCAAGAAACTGGGAAGTGTTTACTTTAAAATGCCAGTTTTCAGCAAGAATATGGGAAGAATTCCCACAGAAGGCTTAGACACCACATCTAACCCCTGGCCCTGTGCTCTCCCCTAAGGGAGAGCAAGAGCCCTTTCTGCATACTGCAGGAATATTTGCATTTACTGAAGGCAGGCACACCTTTGTTGCCTATAACTATCTTTTCTCACCTTCTAAACCTCCAAAAATCTTGGAAGATCAACACAGGACAAAGGATCAAGTTAAGCAAGGGTTTAAGGGAAGATGCCCCCCTTGTAGCTTCTCAGCAGGAAGTACCCTAACTAAAGTCTTCAAGGGCTCAGGTATTAGCAAGGAAAAGTGAGAGGGTCAACTCACAGAGGAAGCCAACCCTGCTGGAAAAACGAGCACTACTTGTACAGCAGGCACCTGCGTGCCAAGCCAGCCCCAAAGAGGAGCTGCAGGGTTGAAGCTGGGAAAGAGATGAAGCGATACATAATGCATAAGTAGCCTAACCCAAACACAGGTTTCCAGACCTATGCAAAGGACACTGTTACTGTCTTGTATGCGTAGGCACAGGCTTACTCACAAAGTACACGGCAAGAACAAAGCCTGCACAACTCCCTTGTTAGAAATATGCTGACAAAATAATTTAAATTATGCTGAAGAACCTTGATGTAGTACCCAGTATGTTGTAACAGTGTACTATCTCAATTTATCATGCTGTAGCACCGCCTCATGGGAAAGGAGAGGTACAAGAAGGGGACTGGCAGGGAGAGGAGTTGCTGCTCCAGCATCACCTGGAAAAAAGCCTTTACAATCTCATCTCACTTCACTACTTTACTTCAAACACCAGGAGGGCTTGGTGATGGAAAACACTTATCATGCATTTCTAACTTACCTTCAAACCACACAGTATTTAATACTCTGCTAAAGCCCTACTCTCTGTGGTCATTTAAAAGCCTTCAGCTTTTATAGGCATCTGGATCTGGAGCATCAGAAGAAACCTGCAGCTTCTTCTTGCTTTAAGAACCCCTGAATTTCAGAGCCAAGAGCCTAAGCATGCTTGGTTGCATGCATCTAGATATTTCTGCTGTTTGACAAGCCTCAGTGTTCAGTCAGGGAGCTGAAGAGCTGTGCTGCAAATGGTACAGAGCACAGCAAGATTTTGTACAACTAAAGCCAGTGTTTGTACCCCAGCAGATCTTTAGAGGCCAGACTGTGCAGACTGTGGTAAAACTATGAAACAGTACACTATGTAGATAATCTTACAAGTCCAAGCAAAGCAGAAGGTTGTGTTAATGATCTTTCAGATAAACAAACTGGTTGGTTAACATTAGGAAGACCTAGCATACTTGATATGGCTCCTTTCAAAGTACAACCTTAACATGCACACACCCACACAACCACCATAAAGTTCATTGTGTTTTCTCCTTTGGAATGTGGCCATCCAGTGAAAGAAAACAGTGTGATCACAGAGAAGCAAGGGATTTACAATTGGATAACTGAATAGTAATAATGCTTGATGTTAGCAAACTACTCCATAGCACTAAAACTCCTATGTTTAAAAAAACACACTCCTTTTCACAGTACCCTAAAAATTCAGCTCCCTCTTGCAAAAAAGAAAAGTGACTTTTTGCTAGTTTCTTGAGGAAAGCAGACTTGTGTTTAATACTTGTGTTCATACTACCCATGATGACCACTGAACTAAAAATAGAAATTCTAAAGCTGAAGGTAAGAAAGTAATTCAAGACTTCACATTTTCAACAAAATACTAGAGTAAGGAGAGATTTGGGAACTAACTGAGTCTCAGAGGAAGAGACAAGAACAGCCCCATTTGCACACCTTGCTGGCAGAAGCAGCAGCTCAGGCTGCTCCAGCTCACTAGCATGCAAATGCACAACTTTTCTGTTCCCTGATGCTACTTCGGCAGCTTCCAATAGCAGTGGTGATAGTTTTAGTAGCTGTGTTTTTCCTCCCTGGTAAAGGGGTTCAAGCTCCCTGCCCAGCTTGCTTGGAAGCAGAGGCACTGGTGGCAGCAGCAGATCTGTTCCAGACGTTTTTTCATTCCAAGTGTTTTCCCAATTTAACAGACCAGTGTTCTGCATTGTCATAGGAGTTAAGTAATACCGGATATTTCTAAGTAGAAATATCTTGTACTGAAACAAATTTAACAAAGAATAAAACTGTCTCTTCCTGAAGCTAGCCACTCTATATATGCATAAGACCTACAAAACTAAAACCAACTGTTTTTCTGTGCTTATGAAATATATTGGAAAAATTTTGTAGTAACAAGTAGTGGCAAGGGAACTCAGGAGACAACTTCTACCAGTCTGACCAAAATTTGTAGTTGAAGGGATACTATTCACTTACTGTATTGGAAAAAAGTTTGTGGCAGCAGTACTCCCGTAATAGCATTTCCTGGCACAGGTATAATACAGACATCCCTCCTCAAGCTAGCTATGCTCCCCTTGTTTTTCCATAACCACTACTGAGCATCTTAGAGCTCCCAGCTCATTTCTCCTTGACCCATGTCTGTTTTACAGCCACAAAGGACATATGCTAAACAAGGATAAAAATCCCTGGTTATTCCTCCTCTAGTCCTATGGAGGCATCTTGTAATTTTTGGAATCATATACAAACACATCTCCATTGCTTCAAATGCTCTGCTCCTGAATGCATCCCTTTGGCTGCTGCAACAGGAAAAAAGTAGCCTTTTCAATCTTTTCAAATACAGCCCTACACCTCTTCTAGCAGATCTGTGTGCAGCATTTCTCCCACCCATGCAGTCTTAAACTTACAAGCGCCTTCCAAGTCAGCCATTCCCACTAAGGGCCTGCTTAATTAAGAGTATATCATGGCATTTATCTTCAACACTAGGCTTCCAAAAGATAGCTGACAAAGGATCTGTACCACAGCAGAAGACAGTTATTCTGCAATTGAGATGAGAAACAGCTTCTACCTCCAGAATAGATTGGCTATACAGGATTTTCTGCCTTCTTCTTTCCACCATACTTTAGTTAGCTTCAGCATCAATTTGTAGTGCCAAGTCACTGGGGAAACTATTAAGCAATTTCTGTCAGAACTTTTTTACAAAACTACCTGAGGTTTCACAGATAGTCTCCTAGCTTTTGCAGGGAGTCATTAGGTTTCATGATATTGGTGTAAAAACACATTAAAAGTTACCACGAGCTGTTCAGGCTAGAAATTTCTACTTTTAACAACATATCCCACGATATAGCAGTGTCAGCACACGATGCTACTTTGGGAACCTGGCAAGCTTGTTTTAGATTTACCCACTCTTTTGCAAGGGCAATTTTGTTCAGTCCCTTCTAAACTTGTCACCTTGAAAAAGCATGATCCCCTCAGTCACCCACATGCTGCAGACACCTCACAGATGATCACCTTTCCACACATAGAACCTGCTCTCAAGGGGCTAAAGGTCCAAGCCCAAGCAGTTAGCAAGTCCTGACAGCTGGCTATTAAAGCTTAGACTTGAGACGCCATAGGAAGTACTCCCCAGGTTACTATCACCTCTTCCTCTACATCCACAGCACAGAGGCAGGGACAGGAAAGAAATGAAATTCTCAAGGAAATCTTGAAGTATGGATTGAAGCCCATAAAAAAAAAAAAAAAAAGACAATTTTGTACAGAAAACTCTAGTTTCTTCTATGTTAGCACAAAGGCCAAGCCTATAGACAACTTGCATCAAGTTCATGGCACTACCTCTAGCAGAAGGTAAATCTGCATATGGAAATATAACATTTAAAAATCAAGGTTGTTCTCAGTGTTGTCAGCTCAGCATGGCATATCACAGAAGACTAAAGGTTTTATTGACATAAAAATGTATGTCAGGCCTCTACATGACTGTTCTTTATGTAGGTTTTACCCAGAGTATGCTAGGAGTACACTGAAAAAGCCATCATCTTCTCTTTACATCAGAGAATACCTTACAGCTAAAAATTAATTCAGATCTTCCTCTGCATAAAAGACAACCTCACGATGAGGAAACCTTAGGTTTCCATGAGGAAAGAACCTCAACATGGAAGAGAGCATATGAACAGGACCAGGAGCATAACTTTTGCAGAACACATATGCAAAGAAATTGAGAGCATTAGAGGGCACTACAAGGAGTAATGAAGTGCTTGTTTCTGTCCTGTTACCTGCTGGTGCCATCTAAATGAAGACCCATAAATGGTAAAAACAGATTAGGTACAATGTTACTCTAAATCCATAATTACAACATTGGTGTTATCCACAAGAAAATACTTTCAAATTTCTGAAAAACACCCAAACTTTCCCAACAGACATGCAATGAGTGCTAACAGTTATATAAGATGCTTCAGCTATTTCGAAACTTTGACGGGGAAGGGAATAGGTTGGAAAGGAAGTATTTTCTTTCTGCTTAAGCTGGTCTCAAGAATGCTGTGGGCTAAATTGATGTCACAACATTTATTGCAATAAAATGGTGCTCCAGTACAGTAGGAGCAGCATTACAGAATTCCTGAGCCACAGCCAAGACCAAGGCCCATTTCATACAAGTTCCTATTCAGAAGGAAGTCTACTGTACTCACGATTTAAATTGCAAATAGGAGCTGGGACTGCTAGAACTACAAATACAAGTGGCTGACTTCTGAACCCAACATCCTCTAGCTCCATTCCTGACTTCACAAGAATTTTGCCTGAGTTAAAATCCTTTAAGCTGAACCAAAGCAGCATTTGGTTCATGCACTGCAGTCAGCAGCTAATCAGTTGATTACAGAAAACAAAAGCAATAGAAGTTCATTTTGCATGTCTATATATGCACACAAACATGTGTATGTGTATATTTCTGTCTAGCCAGCAAGTTGCCTTCTCTACTTGAAGAGAAAATATCCTCCAAGGAAATCAGAGCATTGAACTGGCTGTTCCAGGTGCAATATAAATAGCCAAGATTATATACCAGAGCAAAGTCACACATCTTCAAGTTAAAAGAAGAGACCTCTAGGCCTGATCTAACTACTCTTGCTTTAGCAGGAACTCCCATAGACAGATACTTGTTTAGAAAAGACAAAACACACTCTGAAGGTCTCAGATTGTAGAGTCTGGACAGGATGGTTGCCTGATAACATGAAGGAGCAAGAAGGTAATTCCTTGCAAAGACTCAGCATGAACTCTGACCATACACTACAGCACTTCCTTGGTTATAATACATTAAGTTGTAAACATTAACAGCAGACTTCTTTGTATTTCAGAAAATTCACTAGGGAAAACTGGCATTAAGTTTAATGATGCAAGTCCTGAATTTTAATCATCAGAAGCAAGTTAGCAGAAGGAGACAGAGGCACATGGTTGGTATATGCAGCCATGTCAGGAGCTCACACAACACAAAGCTGCTTGGAACAGCCTCCAGTTTTGTTAGGAAGAGACTTTGTCATCAAGCCTGAGTAAACCCAGTGAGCTCAGCTGGAAGTGCTAACTCATTACACAATTCAAGGTAATCAAGCACATGCTCACACCAAGGTTATTCAAAACCAGCTTCAGTGAGAAAACTGCACCATTCAGTTTAAGGCACATCATGGGATATTTCCATTGTTTTCTTGCCCAACTCAAGCTGTGATGGCAGAAAATCTTTACATCGGGTCTTTATAAAACCTTTATGAGACCACACACCTCCCTTCCCCACCCCAACTCAAACACCAAACTTTCAGAAGACTTGAACTAGTGTGGCTTTGATTACACATAGGACCGAAGATGACACAGCCAGCACACATAATATTATGACAGAATAACAGCATGCAAGCACACTGGCCATAATAAAAACAAGGGAAGTAAAAAGAAAAGCTAACAGTCTTATTATGCTTATAACCTAGGATAGCCTCTTTGGGAAGGGTATCGGAACAGGGCAGAGCAGGCAGTGGAATTTTCCAGGACTAACCTCCCAATTTATGTGTCAAACATGTACAGGCTATGCAAAAATGCAGACAGTACCTTTGGAGATGAAAAATGAACTGAAGGCTTGAACCACTAGCCCACAACATCTGCTACATAGAAAGTAGCATCTACTGTACAGACAGGCACATCTCTTCCCCTGAAGCTTTCTCTTTTCACAGTCTGAACCCCCTTAGCTCTTGCTCGCTGTCTTTCAATACAGCTATGCCCTACTCAGTGCTCAGCCAGTTGTGTACCTACAAGTCTCTAGCATGTGTCATTTATCCCACCTCCCCCCACTCTTTTCAGGTTGAAGAACCTTAATTCACTTAATGCTTTCTGACAGCAGAAACCCTCCTTTTCCTTTCCCGAGTATTATCAACCTTCCACTATGTTCCTTCCAAGGTAGGCAGAAGACCAGAGCAGCACACAGTAGCTTTTCATGAAACTACTGGAAACCCTTTTCTTCCAGCACTTCACCCCTGTGACAGTGGTTGCCTCTGAGCCCACCAATTTATAATCCTGGGCTGTTTCCTGATCCTGTACACATTACTTGATATCTGCCTGCAGTGCATGTCACATACTGCTTCGTCACATCGCCTTTTCAATTCCTCCTGCTACACCAGCATGCGCTCATCTTTATTGTCCTGAATGCTAGCCTAGCACTAAAGTGTTACCTCACATACTATCCAGTTTAGATAAGAACGTATTGACTACCATGTAGTTCGTGCATGGGAACTTTGCCGGTTCTCTCCACTGCAAGAGACCTCTTTGCACCTGCCCTCATCTTGTCCCTGCCTCTGCTCAGGGAGGGGCTTTATACCTGCCGGGACCTTAGTCCAGGACTGCTTAGCTCCCTCAAGAACCCTTATTCTTCTAGGAGACAAAGTAAACTAACACTAATGAGCACTCACTCCTCCTCCTACATAGGTTCAGGCTTTTGAAGGCTTCAAAGCTACCTTGATTCTTCATTCCCCTTACAGTAGACATTCTCTTTCTTCCAGTGTCACATTATCTCCATCTGTACAACAACTTCGTTTTAATAGAATCTTCTCCTCTGCCTGTTCCAGAGGCATCACATATGCCACTCAACATCCTCCAGAAAAAATAAAATAAAAACCAAGAGCATCAAGTTTGCTGCACCCAGTTCCCTGGCCCAGAGATGGGTGGCAAACAAGATGTTTTTATCTAAGCACAGCGCATTGATAGTTATGAAGTAACTGAAGTGTAACCCCAGCAAGTTTTTAAACCAGCATTTTTTCTTGTTGTTTCACAAGCTTTTCATCAAGAGGTCAGTTCAAATTTGTGAGGGATTTGGAGTCACAGACAGGTTGTTACATAGAACATTCCTAAGTCTTCCCCAAACACACTTAGCAAAATAAAAACTTGCAGAACTTCACTCCTAGCACACTTCCATACCCAGACCAACTATGGTATTTAAGGACTCTGGTACACCTCCTAGTCCTAGTGTCTAGAAGTAGGGTATATTAGTTGAGTTTGCTTTGGTAAGTTATTACTAAATCTTACTTTTAAGTTATCTTATTACATTTTTTTATTTGAACTGCCAGCATTTATGAACTTACTGTCTTTCTTTGGACATAGCTTCAACTGACTTTCCCTTTTTTTTGGTTTTAATAACCTCCCATACCCAGTTATTTTGCTCTTCCTGCTTCTTCTTACCCTCTTTCAAGTCTCTTATGAAGGCAGGTATGTCACCTAATATGACTACTGTAAATACTTGCATATTTGTTGCAGACTATTTATATTCCTCACTTCTGCTTTTGAGGCAAATTATTTTAAAAATAAATATATAAACTTGATCACAGCTTCATGCAACCTTTTATTTTCTGCTGGTCCAGGAGGTACACTGGCTCTGACTATATCATTGTAACCACTGCCAAGTACCTCTTAGACAATAACATCCATATTAATATTGTATTTGAACTCCCCCCCACGGGCTGTTTTAGTGGGGTACAAATACCTATAGTGAGCCCTAAGAGCCAAGGACTACTACAGCTGGCTTACAAGCAGCCATATCCACAGCAGGCACCAGCTGTTTACATTTACTGCCTACTGATGCAAGCAGCCACTTGGAGAAGCAGCAGCATTAGTCTCCATTAACTACTCTCTTACGAGGAGAAAGCACATTAAAGGCAAACAACATTAAATTCAGACGTCCATGCTTCAACTTCTTGAGAAGCAGTCCTAACTTCTGTGTTATGCCACGCTTCCTGATCACACCTGGCAGACAAGAAACAGTTGCTCCAGTAACTGCACTGAAGACATGAATTCCACTCGTGGTGGTGTGCTCCTACAGGTTTAACAGTCTCAGGATTTTCTCAAAGAGGCGTTACCGATAAGACATGATGCAGACGACCCAGATTTAGCTGAGGGTTCCCCCAAGACAGGTTCATGCACAAAACAACAAGGACTCCAAGCGCTAGTTTCCAAGGAATTAGTTCCACACCCTGTAACAGCCCGCACACCAAAACAGTCTCCAGAAGCGCAACTGGCAGTAAAAGTTTCCACACAAGCGTGGTAATAAAAAAAATAAAAAAATAAACAACACAAAAACAAACAAACAAAAAACCTGCCTTTACATCGAGCATCCCCCCCCCCCCCCCACACACACACACGCATTAACAGGCAGGGTACACAATGGTTCCAGAACAACTAAACGAACAAAAAATAAACCAAGAAAAAAATCGTATCAATCGTATATAAAAAAAGGCAATGAGATAACTACGAACCCTATCCAGGCTTTCTTGCCGACTGCATGGCGCGTTAAAGCTGCAGCAGGTCCCTCAGCCCCCCAGCTCCCGAGGAAGTGGGCAGAGGGTCCCGGGCAGCCCCTCCGCCCTGTCCCCCTGCGGCTCCCTTACCCAGAAAATGAAGTTGAAGCCGAAGAGCAAGTACTTGATACACTTGGTGCCTCCTTTGACGGGCATCCTGCGGGCAGGCGAGGGGACAGCGTGCGTGCGGAGGCCAGTCGGGGAGCAGCAAGGCCACCTTCTCCCAGCGCCACTCCTTAAATCCGCCTCTCCTCGCCTCCCCCCGGGGCTCTCCTCCCCCGGCAGCCCGGCCCCGACAGCCCGGCCCTTTCTCCTCCCCCTGCACAATGACTTGTCCCGGTGCCCTCCCTCCGCACCTGCCCAGTCCCCCCGCCTCGGGGCGCCCGTCAGGGATGCTCGGAGGGCTGGCGGTGTCACCGGGGGCTGTCGCCCAGCTGCGGGCCCCTCCCGGCTGCCCCCGTAGTCCCTGGGTAGTCCCTGCTGGCATGCTGCGAGCGAAAAAAGGAGTGGGGGCGTGCAGGACGGTGCTCTGCCGGCTCCGATGTGGGTTTGGTTTGTCCTCGGTGCCTCAGCCTGGTTTAGGTGGGTGGCGGTGTGAGCTCACGGCAGTTGAATCGCTTTCCTGGCGGCTGTGCAGAGCTGCAAGAGCACGGTTTGGAAAAACCAGGTGGGGTGTTGCTAACCAGCAGCTGAGCGTGGTGCCTGGTTGTGCGCCTACCCTCAGTTCACCCCGGTTGTTAAACAAAGCTTGTAACTTGCATCTCGCTGAGGAAGTTCCTGTCAATTTTAAAAGGACGTTCAACACAGCTTCTGAATCTTTTAGGAATGAAAACTGAGGTTTCATACCTTTATTTATCCTTAATAGGATGTGATTAGAAATTCAGCAGTTACTGAGAGTCAAAAGAAAACCCAGGCAGAACAGAAAGCACAGAAAAGAGTTACTGAAATGCAAATAAAAACATGTTGGAGTTGTTGCCAAAATATATTATAGGATAGAGTACATTCCAGAGCTGATGTGCTAGAGGAGACATTGAATTGGGCAGCTGCTTCCCAGAGCAGGTTGCAAAATATTGATATGTTTCCACTAGAAAGCAAGATAGAAAAGTACAGCTAGGAAAAATTCAAAGATGATCGTGAGAGCACAAGCAGAGCCAAACCACGAGGCCTCTGTCAGTGCTGAACTGCTTGTAGGAGCAGAAAGAGACCATTCTGCTGCTTTTGATTTGGGGCCTCTGATGCAATGGGCCAGTAGCAGCTCATGGGCTGGACTCCTGGGAGCAGGGCGAATGGTGCTTAGCTCCATGCAAACTCTGCCCAAAGTGTATTGGTCTGTTATTTTAGTTGGCAAAGGGAACCAGAGGGATGGAGGCTAGCCACAGCAGTACAGATCCAGCAAGGCTGGAAGTAATAAATGTGTGCATGTGACTCTTGGGGTAACTGTCAGCTGGGCAGATGACTGAGTGAAAGTACTGTCACTTTCTTGAGCTTTGATTGATTTTCTTGATGGCTTTATTTTATTTTTAACTTTGCCATAAGAATCTATGTCAATGTCAGTAATATGACTTCCCTTACCTTTCTAACGTTAAGGATAAAAAATAGATTTAAAGCAAACAAAGAAACATATTATATATATATTAAAAAAAATGGGTTAAGAAAAACCATGATAGTACAAAGCTTTTCAGGCTTACACTGTGTTAAAGCTGCTTCCATTAAAATTCATGGGTGGTAGCCTTTTGATCAAAGGCAGAAATGGACCTGATGGATCAAAGCCTCCTGTGAGTTTGTATTGATTTAAAGCTAAACTCTCCCTATTCATCCAGGGAATTTATTTATCAACGTGTGAAACTGAATTAAGCATTTCTAGTATTCACAAGAATATGGAGTGAAAATAGTTAAAATTCGTGTTTATGTGACTTTTTTTCCTTCTTTCTTTCTTTCTTTCTTTCTTTCTTTCTTTCTTTCTTCTTTCTTCTTCTTCTTTCTTTCTTTTCATATGAAGGATAAGGAGAGGGTATTCATCTTGCAGTCTTTGAGAGTCAGATGATCTGGTAGATGTGTCTCTTTTAACATAATCTGAGCTTCTCTGACTATTGGAATGAGACAGTAATCAATTGAATTTCTGCAGAATAGAAAACACTACCGGAAATTAACAAGTCTTGTAGAATTACATGAGAACAATTACTATTTTAAAACCTTGCATTTACATGGGATAGTAGGCCAAAATATTTTGCACCAAGTATTTATTATCTGTACTTAAAATCGTACTTGATGATTAAAGTGTTATTTTTCTCCTACTGCAACAGAGATGAACAAACTCAGAATACTGCTGAGAAGAAGAAATCTTGGGTTTACCAGAAGCCTCTTAAAATTACCTTTCTAATAATCTTGGCAGGACTCTGATTTAGTTTTCATATACAGACCTGAATTATTTTCTCCCATTTTACTTTGAAATGTCTTGTTCATGCCAGCATGGAAGAAGTGTTTTTTTGTCATGAAGAAATGTTTTCTCCTTAGACCACACTATCCAAAAGATAGGATCCATTGATTAGCAAGGTAAGGGGGAGAAAGGGTTCCTTTCCCAACTCTATAAAGGAGTGGTGGGAACCAGTGGTAAGTACTGCAGAAATTCTGATGTTTACAGTCTCCTTGATGCATTTTACCCTTATCTCTACATACATATGGAAGGACTACTGTCCTTCTCTCCTCTTTGTATAAATGATTTCAGGTCTTTTAAATTTTTTTCTTTCAGTTCCCTTAAGCATCCAGGGATAAACAGTTCAAAACACAGAGAGATTAAATACAAAGCTTTCCCTGGTGAAGTGTAGGGAGTAAGTTTCCCAAGAAGTGCAGATTACAGTAGGAAAACAATAACGATTTTCTTCCCTGTAGAAAAACAGTACAAGCCAGTCACATACACACACACACTCACACACACACAATTTGTTTTGCTTGCTTTTTAACTTCAGTGATATTTTTTTATTTGTAAGTGGATGCTCAGGCATACTATGTACTGGGCTTGATGCAGCTGTCAGGTGTGGGAGGGGGCTGTAGAACCAGCCAGCTTCTCTGCTGTCACAGAATTGAGAGTTGATGATGGCCCAGGTGACACAGTGTAGGCCCTCTGGCCTTCTATTTCCTCCTACCTTTCAAAATCCATCCCTGAGTTCATCCACAAAACTTCAGGACAAGTATCTTAGTTCTTCCGGTTTAACATTTTCAAGCAAATTTTAAAGATCCTTATTTCATTTATTTTAAATACAGCAATAATTTGAAATGTGATAAATGAGACTCATGATGTGTAAGTGGCTCCTGCTGGCTTTTGCACTGGGGCTGTGAGGGAGAGAGGGGCCTAGAGCTGGAGAGTCAAGATTTTCATGTCATTGCAAAGATGACTCATAGGATCTGTCATTCTGATAAGAATAGGGCAATAGCATTTGCTTTTTCCACTGCTAGAGGAGAAATGTTTAGTGTTTGGTAACATAACAGTTAAATTCTGGATGACCTCATGCTGTTAGGAAATCTGTCCATTCTGAAAATTTGTCTGCCTTCTTCCATAGGAGAAAGGCTTTAAATTCACAAAGCCCCATGGGATTTCATTAGAAATTGGGTCTTCCACCACTACTGGAGATGTAGGTGGAAGTAAAGACCTGAAATCAGACCTCTTTGTTTTCCACATTTTTAACTCACTTTTTAAAAACAAAATTTGATGAAGATTAGAAGAGATTTAGGCACATCCTTGCAAATATTTGGCATCAGACCTTTGTGTATAATACATTATACATATATGTGTATAATACATTAGTGATTATATTTGTGTATTTGTGTATAATACAAATAATATTGTATTTGTGTATAATACATCAGTGATAATATCAGGAGTGTGACTGGAAAATTTCTATGTGTACTTAGGAATTCTTTTAAAATTGTGTCATAATCAGTTGCCATTTTCAAGTTCTGAGATAAAATTCATGGGACAAAAAGCAGAAAGATTTTGCTCTTAGTTGTTCAAAATAAGTCTAAGCTTCTGTTCCAAATAAATCAGACTCTCACTACTACCAATGATGAAAGTGCATCATGTCAGGAAGGAAGGATATGGAAAGTGTCATAGTTTTACTAAGGAAAAAGAAATCACACATGCTTTTTTTTAATTGACACAGAATACAAAAATAACCCCTTATTTTTTCATTGAAACAATTTGACACTATTGAATATATACCCTACTGTTTATTTTTCATATGAAATTACAGTTTATTAAAAGTCTCCTACTGCAGATAGTAATATTCATAACTCACTTTCAGTATGTGAGCAGGCTTGTGTTTGTAGGATCAGGGCCCAGATGTTTTAAAAACAGGATGCTTTTTGTAGTGACAGATTCTGTGACCGTAAAGAGTTGCAAAATCCCTTTTCGGAAACCATGACTGCAACAAGTATGCAGCTGTAACGTGATTCATCTAACTACCACTGTTTTGATGCCTGTGTGTGTCAGACCTCTTGGTGTAGGTGAGGTTATTTTGAGATCAGGGAATACAACTAAGTGGGGCCGCAGGCTGAGGCTGTCATTGAGGTGCATACAGGTATAGGGGGGTTCTTGAGCATGAGGACCCACCATATGCCACATCTCCCTTGCTGTATTGCAGCACTGGAGCATGTGTGGTGACGTGTGACAAGCCCTTCCAGATGTCAGATTAAAAAATCAGGCCACCATGGGATCATGTAGTATTTTTGTGGAAGGAGTGGGAGAAAGGTCCTGGCTTTGCAAACACATGAGAGAAAGACACAGGTAGCATCAGGAAACAGAGAAATGGCACATGATCTGTGTCTCAACAGCCAAGAAAAGAGGTCACCATGTTTTCTCATCATTCTAATGGGTAGGTGCCAATGTTCACCAGAGGTGACTAACTGTAAACCTTACTCCTTGACTGGAATTTTGATAAGTGGTGGGTTAGCTTAAATTAACTTGCTGCTCTCAATAGAAATGCTTCCCCTGATGTGAGTGGCTGGCATAAGCTCTCATGTATGCTCTCTTTCATTTTTATTTGGCACTTCATGCTAAGCTGTCCCTGGTTTTCATCTGTATGTCCAGTGGAAGAAATAAGTCATACACATGCCTCTCTTAAAACATCCAGTACTTATTCCAAGTACTGCTCCCCCAGGGCTAGTCTCTAGCAATTTTATGCTACTGGAATTACAAGGAACTACCTGTATATGTTTAATAGTATTTCCATTAAAACGTGAACACTGCTGTGTGCATCGGGCATGCTGTTGTATATCTCAGGCACA